ATTAGTCGTATCTGTTATTTATACCATATAACAAGAAATCACCAATAAAAAAATTTCATTTAATGTATTGCATAAATCGAAATCTACCATAACAACATCATTAATGAAATAAATTTAGTCTAATATAATACTTTTTAGTAAAAAATATTTATAGAATAAATGCGGATGTTTTTCTATAGAATTGAAAAAAAACATGAATAATGATGAGTTTATGAAAAACGTTTCTTTCAAATATGTAGTATCTTCGTTAGTAGATAGTTCATGGTTTGATAGTGATTTTATGATTAAGAGTCAATAATGATCTTATAAACAATAGTTAAAGAGAGTAAAAATGAAGACTGGTGTAGAATAATGTGAATTCATTTTATTTGGTTAGGTTCACATCAGTTACTTGCAACATATAATATTTAAAATCAAAGTTATTAAAGATATTCACAAATTTATGAATACGAAGATGATTAGAGATGAATATGTGTATCATGATGTAGCGAAGATTCCAATAGAGTTAATAAGGTCATAAATCTTTTTTGTTTTGTTTCGAATAAATGGATAAAGTTTGAGAGGGAACGTTCCAGAACACTGACATAATGATTAGAACCCATGGAGTTAACAAACATTAGATAATTGTGCAATGAAATATGTGCAAACAAATTAATGGTAATAAAGCAAAATATGAACCGAAATCAGTCAGTTATGAATTAAAGAAAAATGAAAATGATGTAATCAAACTTCAGAAAGAGTTGAAATAATGAATGTTGCAATAAAAAGAGTGTAATGTTACGAGAGCAAAGAAAGGTTGATTACTGCTTCTTTTTGAACACAGATTTGGTTTTAAACTTTTGATCTCTATCGCCTCGGAAAATTTCAGAATATTGGGGTTCGACTGTCTATAATTCGCCTTAGAAGATTCTTAATCCGCCTGACGTTAAAAGTTTTGGAATATGTTCTTTAAATAAAACGTAGCTTCTCCTTTCTGTCCCACCAATGTAACTGCTTTGGCTGATATATGTGAATTTGTATACACAGTTGTCGGTAACATCACAGGGATTCCTATTGACCTTTGATTGTGTTAAAGAACGTGTTTTGAACCTGATAATTAGTTAAGCTGTAGGATAAGTTCTAGTCAATGCAGTTTTTAGTCTCTTGCTGATTGACCCTGTCACATTGCTGTGACAAGTGGTGTCCGAAATCTGATATTGATATACAGTGAGCTACGCGCTAACCCCCAATATGACTACTTGAGTGAGAACACAAGAGTGAACGAAAAAGTGTATTGGACTACCGAATGAAATGCTCAAACGCTCATTCAGATATATACCAGTCTATCATTAGAAAATTGACCCACTGACCCAAATGAAATGTACTTGACATTTAGTTCACTTGCGACTGCCATCGATTGGTCATTTGCTACTTCTGATTGGCCCTCCATATCACACATCATCACCTTTGACTTTTAGTTTAATAAAAACAGGTTTTTTGTCTATTGTAGTTTCTTCAGGTCTTTTAACGTCACATTTTGCATATTTCTCAACAAATTTCAGTGGGTATCCGTTGCTTTTAAACTCTTTTTCACATTCATTAGTTCCAATTTTTGTGAAGCGGCTGCGCATATTTTTTCGGTTCTGTGAAATAGTGTTATAACAACTGCCTTTTTATAATTGATTGAATAAAAGCTATTGAAATTGAGAGATAAATCTCATTCCATGTGTATTTTCTATAAACTGAAAGTAAGACGTGTCATCCTTCCTTCGTTTTATTATAATATCGAGAAAATGGAACTTGTTTTCATTTTCGTGTTCCCTAGTAAACTGGATATTTTATTGAACTTCGTCGAGAAGTTTCATAGATTTATTGTTGTTGATTATTACATACGATGAAGGTGTTGCCAAAAACCTCGAATAATACACCATTTCACCAATCGCTCATTTGAGTTTGGTTCTTTCGAAATTAGCCATGAAAATATCTGCTAATACAGAACCTAACGGACTTCCTATTGTTACACCATCAGTTTGTCGGTATATGACATTATTGAACTGGAAGTAAACATCATTTGTATACATGATTAACAGCCGTTTGAATACTGATACTGGTAAAGGTAGGATATCAGAATGCTAGCAAATTATATCTATGGTTTTTTGCAGACAGTGATGTCACAATCAAAGAAAACCATAAAATTACCAGCAATATTTATTCGGTTCATACTGTCGGAAAATTCAAATGAATCCTTTAATGTATATGTGGCCGATCGTTGACGAACTTGTTATAAGTTATCCGCTGGCCATAGTGTAACTTTGTGGCATAAGTAAAAAACCTTCTTTATGTATCTTTGGTAAATCATACACGTGGGGCAAAAGAGTCCTATAAGGTTGTGGCGGTAAATAAATCCCCAAAATAAATAGCTCTGTAAGTTTTCGACATTGGATGTTGACCAGATTAGTTTTAATGGACTCACCTAGCTGAAGGCGCTCGGTCATGCATCCGCACAAAATCACGTGTGGGAACGCCGTGCTCAACATTTACTGCAATCGCTAGCCAGACTAGATCAGACAACTCCGATATATTGGCAATCGTCAATTACAACTTCTGATCTCCTCGATTCTGTCTTTTGATTTCTCTTGGTGGGCATGAGTTATACTATAAGATGTTACTGGTAAAAGCGTTGTCAAACACTGAATACTTGTGCCATCTTCAAGGTCGTAGGTTATTATAAGTGGAGTTATCGATCATCATCTTTACTTGTGGTTTCTCAAAATTATGTAGCATCATTTTCATTGTGATAAAATAAAGAAAATGTTTTATACACATAAACATTACTTTAACTAAAACTATCATTTGTAAGAAATTTACTAGTGAACTTTCATATCTTCCTAATCTTGAATGATTTGTGTATGTAAATATTTTTTAGAAGCACCGTCCATTCACACGTGAACTATTTGGTAAGCGTTTCTTAAGCACGATAAGATATATCTTAAAAAGGCTTTATTTCTTAAGATAACAAGTCCTTTAATTAAACTTTTTGATTGGCTAAACTACAAATTTCATGAATCTTGGTACGGTTCATTTGTTGCTGAAATCAACAGTATTTCGGGTAACACTACTACACCTCAAATCACTGTCTATATATGAAGTAACAGCTTTCGAATATAACTGCATCGATAATACGATGCACTTAACCGTCAGTTACAAAAATATTACATCTTCAAAAGGATGATACTACTTAAACGATACATCGACTGAGTTTTGCACAATATTTACTGATCTAATGATGTATGATCACGTACGATATTTAAACTCATGTTATCAAAGATTAATCTAAATATAACAGTGACATTCAGGGTCTGTTAGTGCTTTGGTACACAATACCTTTATAATTGAAAGAAACCAACCAAGGCAGTCTAAAAGTCAGAAATGAATGTAATCGAAGATATATTTTGAAAGTTGTCGATATGTTGAGAAGCGTTTAATTTATAGTGGCTGGTAGATGCAATGTATACATAACAAGGCACACCCCACGTGATCTGGTTGGGATGCGAGACCGAGTGCTTTCATCTGGGATGCTTCCAGCAAAACTAGTGAGGTGAGCATCAATGCCAATGACTCAAAGAACAATTTATTTTTGGTTTAAACCCTGTGAATTGTCACTGAGCCCTAGCCAAATCACTCGGAAGTTGAGTCACTTAATATCGAACAGATCATCGATCCCTACCAATGTCAGATACAATCAACGCGCATTAGTTAATCGTACGCCATGGACTGGCCCATGCAGTGGTGGTCTTACTTTCTCTTGTGTCTACTTCAACCAATATATTTCTGTAATAAGGTACTCTGTGTTGTACAGTCTTCAAAGCATCTATAGTACTTTGATACGTCAAGAGAGTAGTCCACGTAAGGTGTAGAACACGAGGTGTGACTTCGACATCAGCTGGTTCGTTACACCATTCCCGTCTAACTCGAGTTGGCCTCCAGTCATTTCGACACAGATCATCAACGTTGGTTATCTACACTGTGTTGTTTTTACCGCTGTTAATCAGTTTCGCCATTGCAAACAATGATAGCAAACTAATTTTCAACACTTGTCTGAAAAACGGGTATTTATTTTACACTATATCTCGGGACCATAGTGTGAAATTAATATCTATTCATTTCTGATAGTGAACGAAAACGACGTATGATCACTCCCACTAATTCAATGGATGAATGGTGTAATAATATCCAAAAACATATACATGTGCACTAGCTATAAGTAACTATTCTTACCACTAGTTTTTTTTAATGACTGTGATGTCATAAGATGTCAAGATCTACTTACCACCGAATGAACCAATACTGTTACAACCAAATTTTCAAGAAAAGCGTCGTACTTTTAAAGATACGTGAACTACGTTCACTATACTCCGCAAAAAAATAAAACAAGTGTTAAGATGAAAAGATTTGTATCATGCGGTATTTTTAAGTCTTTAAGAAGAAGTTGAGGTGACTTAAACTCCGCCGACTCCAGAGACCCCCAGATTGGTTTACATGAACGGCTTGGAAACCTCAATCTCACCACAGTACTATGGTCTAGGTTAAGGTATTACTTAATCATAGCGTTAATGATACGGAAGAAAGCACTTTGATGCTGATGTTTATTTTATTTTCGTCCGACTACTCTATAACAAGTTAATGACACAACAGATTAGCACTATATAACAGTGACGATCCATATTACACTAAGACGCAGCTTTACCTGCAGAGTAAACAGCGTTTAAAACATTTTGTTAGAATACATTTGCTTTTGTCTACTATGTGATCTTAAAATTGACTGATAGTTAAACAAATGTTTATATCATGAAGGTACTATAAAGCCTCATGGTTCCTGTACTTACAACTAAAATTCTGGAACTACGATGCTCCAAGCGTATGCAATTCATTTATGAAGATATTTTTAATAAAACTAAAATAAAAATCAGATTAGCAGATCTTGAAACGCGGCTGGAAAATAACCTTAAAAGGCGGCTAAAGTACATTCGAAATTGTTTTACCCGTCTCAACTGACGCTCTATAATTGAATTTTAGTTATACGATATGGGGGACTATGCTGAGGCAGAGGGTATCGCCTTGAAACGCTTAGCAGAGGAACGGAAAGCATGGCGAAAAGATCATCCCTTTGTATGTTAACTAACTAATTATATCATGTCTTAAGGGTTTTGTAGCCAAGCCCTTGAAGAACCCTGATGGATCGTTAGACCTGATGACTTGGAATTGTAGTATTCCTGGAAAAAAAGGCGTAAGATCCATGCTATATTCTTTCTAAAACTATTTAGACATTGTGGGAGGGAGGATTATTCAGTCTTAGAATGTATTTCAAGCCAGAATATCCAACAACACCACCCAAATGCAAGTTTGAGCCACCATTGTTCCATCCGAATGTATTTCCGTCTGGTACTGTATGTCTTTCCCTCTTGGATGAAGAAAAGCACTGGAGACCAGCAGTCACAATCAAACAGGTATCTAAAAAACTTCTTTTTAACATACTCTAAGATTCTCTTAGGTATTCAAGATTTATTAGATCATCCAAATCCTAAAGATCCTGCTCAAGCTGATGCCTATACGTTATATATACAAAACAGAAAAGAATACGATACACGAGTTAAAAAGCAGGCTGAGTCTTTTCGAAACCCCAACTTGTAACTTTCTATATTTCATTGCAAGATATAAGATAACCATATAAGTGTAAATACAAGACAAATCTTATGCTTCAACATAGTTGTTATTCTGTTTCATGCCCCGATGGGGTTTTCGATATTATTTTCAACCTACTCATTCTTTAAAATTGCAACTACCTATTAGGTAATTTCTTTTAGATGCGGTGAAATCCATAACAAGAACATAATAGAACTGGATCACAATCATCACCAACAGTTTATGTCTGTCACTAAACCTGTCATATGTTCTATTCCTAAGTAACACTTATTAGTGAAGTTCTTTATAAGTATTTCAGTGCTGGACGTAATGTGTTAAGAATAGAAACTATACCAAAAGATAGTGATGTAAACTGTTCGCCTGAATTTCATCAATTAGTTTCCTTGGTAGTTCTCTTTTCAAAAGCTGTCGGGTAATGTTGGCATGTTTGACGATACAAATGTTTCTTTGTTGATTTCTGTCCAAGTCAGTTCCCTAACTTCGTGGGATGTGGATGTCTGAAGTACTCAGTGATAAATATTCTTTTACGAGCTGATTGACAATCTAGTCTGCTAGGATACGGCATCTAACTGCTGTCTAAATGTTGGAATGCATGTGACACTTATGATCACTAGTCGCCTACAATTTCTAAGCATGAGTCTCTGCAAATTCGGTATATGTTTTCAAATCATGTCTTTCGTTTCATACATCATGAGCAGGTACGTAAATTTCTCGTTGGCAGTAATTGTATTCGGAATCGTTAGGGAATTAAATAGGTTAACATAAAGTATGGGAACTGTTGTTAGTTCTTTACGTCGGACAAAACTTGTTTGGAGAAGTCAGCACCCTGTCCAGAGATGTTCGTTCCAAAACACCATCCATAATGGTTTGAGTTAGTCCATTTCTCTTTACCGTAGTTGCTAGGGTCCTCAGACAACCTATACCACCCATAATTCGAACTTCTTGATGGGGTTGTAGCTGCTGCGGTTTATTTGGCGTCGTTTCATTTGATCACGATAAATGACTACTAGTAGTTCTTCCCTCCATTTCCTTGTGATTCAGAGGTTGGACTTTTAGTCAGGTTGCATTTGTCCTCTTTACGTGATTTTCTGAACTTATCGGGATTGGATTCTACTGGGAAAGAAGTATCAGTACAGCCGTTTGTAACGTAGCACATGAAACTAAATTGACCCCACTCTCCAAGTCTTTAGGTTCGTATCGAACCAGGATGGGTTGTTCTGTATCCATTCGGAAATGTAAAATATAACTCCCTGTCGTAGCATAGTGCATTGAAATTCAGCTGGAGTATCGTCACCGTTGCATCATATGTCACAATCCTTAACTTTCGCTAGGCGAATATGAGTATTGTCTGTTATATTATCTGGCAAACACAAATAACTTAGTATACAAACTCAACTGACTATAACGCCTCGGTGCAAAAGACATATGCAGATATATGTTCCTTCAAAATTTGTAGAAATCTTCCGCTTGATAGTGTTCCAAAATACATGTTAGCTTTGTGTGCATTTGAGTAATTTTTATGTAATCAAACAAAAATAATTGTTTATTCGAGGTTGAAATGTTTCTCTTCATAATTTAAACCCACTCCTTCGCATTTCCTCGACAGAAGCTGAAACCTTGTGTTTAAAGGAATCTGCTTACAAACAATATGTCGCAGGTCCCAGTTCCTCGTTACCCACTTCGTGTTGGGTATCTGGTTAATATTGTCAGTCCTCACGCAAATTATACCCAAAGCCAAGTACATAGTTATGTACATGACAAGTGGGTTATATCTTTACACCTTTCAGAGATACCTACAAAATGCCATCGATGGAACCATTGAGAGGGGTAGTGACGTGACCAGTACATCCACGATTTGAAAGGAACCCGGCTAGTTGTTTACGAGTCAGTCATCCACGTGTTAAGCACAAATCCTTGTATAAAGATTGCTACTACCGGCTAGTCGCTTGTAACGCTGTAGCCAACTTCTATTTTAACATGTGCTTTTACAAATTAGCAGGGCACACATAACCGATGCAGATGCTTTTTCACTCTCTGAATGCCTACAAAACATCGTTTAATTTTTACGAGAACGAAACTGGTAATCTGTGATTTACCTTTATACACTAATATTCCAAATGATAGATGTCTAGATATTATTGTTTGTTTGCTAGAGAATAACAATATTCTCCAGTAAATGTCTACTAAGCATCAGTTCAATCATGAAATATTTCAAGCTGCTTGAATTCAACGCTGTTTACCTCCAGAGGAACTTTATATGAACAACAACAGATCTTAAGAACATACGAAATTAAACCTTTCTATAAAACAACCAACAATACTAAACGCCTTGGTTAGGACTAAAGGTCGCGTTTACATTTACGCAAAATCCTGTCTACAGATTAGTTTATGTCGATTGTGATACGTTTTACATTGAAGAATCTCGACTCGTGCCAAGGAACACTTAAGTTACACAAAAAGCCCTAATAATCCTGTAGAATTAGAAAATCTACAACTAAAACCGGGAATAGCAGTATATGTTATTTTCAGTAATCACCGATTTGATACTAAAAATCTCAAAATGATTCATAAAAACTTTTCCAGCTATAAAAAGAGCTAGTAGCCGAAGGGTCTCACATAATGCTAAATCCCTCTGCCATCAACAGGTAAGAAGGCCTGAATATTCATTCAACTTTGACCGTTTCCCCAAACAACCACATTTGACTCTATTCCCACACTCAAATTTTAACTTCACCACTTCATACTACAAATCATACATTTTTCATAACCACCATCATGAACACAGATGAAAAGTGATGTCTCATACAGAATCACTTTGACGAAAAATAACACTACATTGTTATATTCAAACCTATTATGATTTTGATTGTATTAAAACTATTCTGCATTTAAATATGTTATTTATAACAATCTACCCAATGCTCAATTTATTCGAACTTATCAAATCAAACCTTGATAATGACACCTACAATTCTGCTTTGTTTCCTTCGTACTATTTAAACACGTTAATTTTATTTCATTTATTTGCTCACTCTGAAGAAGTGAGTGACATTGAATTACGAGACGTCAGGGATGCAGATTTCTACTAGTTGAAATATCACAGGAATATTTATTGTCATCGTTTAAGTAAGCTCGTTTCTCTTCAAATCGGTCGCTCCCATTTAAAACTAAAGACACCAATAGTCCTAACGTATTTTAGTTACTAAACACATCCTACTAACACAAAGAATAAGTAGAGTAGAATGTGAACGAGAAATATGCTAAGAGACATTTCTGAAAGTATGGTTATTTTCTCAGCATTAAAAATAATGAATACATTATTTCTAACAATTTTGGAAACTTGGATCTATATGTGACTTCATAGTATTGATAGAGTTCGAGATGTTTTGGGTGACCATACTTTGAATATTTAGTATACAAGAATATTCACTAAACTATTAGGATATCGCCTACTTGCCACTAGAAAGTGATTTCGATTCAGGACATTAAGATGCAACAAACCTCTGAAGTTAGTTCCACAACGGTCAATAGTTCACATTTAAACTGTCCCTATAAAAGACCCAGAATCACAGATAATATGTGGTGTCCAGCACTGTCATGCTTACGTTACTCTGGATTGTGGATAGAACAATCAACCCACCCTTTTTGAGTCGGTACCAACATTGATCTCGACCTTGTCAATCATTTCCCAATATCCTTATTTGTTTTTTGAGTTTGTGTATGTGTTTATCACTTACCCTATTCATCACATCTCTTTAGTTTATTTTCATGTCTGAACATAAATAGTGAGTCACGCCTTACCAAATTGAGTTTATACAACTACCGTTTCGGCTTCCTTTCTCTTATCGTCTGTTTGTGGTGACGAGTGTATGAAATATATGTATCCAAAAGCCAATCTCGCATTCGATTTAATCTTTACTTTTAATCACTAACGTGAATGAAGTCGATAAACATATACAAGGGCAGGCGGGATATCTCTTTCTTTACCATCATCATACGATCAGATTCGAGTCAGATAAAGGGACATGATAAGCGACAAAAACCACAATTATAAGCTTAAATGATAGAATATATAGCACATGCTTCTTCTTTAATTAAAGCTGCAGTGAGTGACACTGATTTTACTTAACGATGTAGAATTATAACTTTTAACAACTAGTCACCATAACTGGGAAAATGAAAATAAAGGATTAAAAACTCATATTCGACGAAATCTGAGCAGGATGTGTTCAAGGTAGAATAAAATAACAAGAACTATTCAGTTGTTTAAAGTTAACACATCCAACTAAAGTTTTAGAACAACTTAAAAAATGTACGGAGTTCCGGAAAAATCAAAACTAATCTTGAAAAATATATTCTTAGTGAATTTTGATTTCTTGAAATGTACAGAAATTTTTCGCTTGTGACAAATGAATAATCAATGAGTTGTTAGAGCGATTCAACCGACAGTTACAGGGTAGCAACCAGATATTAGTTAAATTACTAAGCTATTATAAATTTACTTTCTTGCTACAAAATAACTAAAATATCTACATATTTGTGATTTGAATTTGTCTATTTGTTTAGTGGATATCCAGCATACTCATCTCCGTCATCTTGAGGCATTCTTTCTTCTTGTAAACATGTCTCATCAGTATGAATTGTTAGATAATGAGGCTCACGCTGTAAACGTTCATGCTTTTCAAGTAATGATTTTGTGGCATTGAATTGGTAACAGACCGTCATAATAGGTAAACTAGGATTAGCCAAATGAATATAGGGACACTGAATGGATTTCTTCACAACAGATGTCTCACTGTGAGTCATAATATTACCGAAAACAGGAAGAGGTGACATAGAAACTCCACGTTCATATTGTGGACACTTTTGATAAGCTTCAAGACTGCAAATATCAAAAGCCACGCCTACTTGGCATATTCCGCAGTTGTTCATTACCGAGTTGACACATTGCTTTGGGAAATTCTGTCTGTACATTGAATGAAAGGCTAAAAGCCTCAAAAACTGACGAATCCAACCGCCATGACCTACCTAAAGAGAAAAATGTACACTCATAATTAGG